ATAGCAATCGTAAATGTGGTAAGCAACTTTACAAAAATTTAAACAAAATTATGGCACAAAATATTTGCCAGCGCCTTCAATCATGCCAGAAAAAATCGACCGTCGTGCAAGAAATATTGATTTTTATTAATTTGATCGTCATCCTTACACGGTCAAAAATTTGGGTTTAATTTTTAAACCGCGCTGGGACTACTGCCTTTTTTAAACTTGTATAGTCTACTTTTTAAACCAGTCAATAGTTTTACGCAATTTTTAATATATTCTGGTTTAAATTTTAGCCCAAAAAGTTCATGGTTTAAAAATCAAACCAAAATGTTTTAATTCTAGTTTCTAGGTTTCATATATAGAAAATTTGGTTTAAAATCTAAACCGAAATTGAATATGTTTGCACAGCGAATTGTGGTGTTGATTCAAACTCAACATATGAAAGCACATTTACATGCGTGGCTGTAGCTGAGTGTGCAAAGATGCTTGATACAATTGGTTGCTATCAGGGCTGTCCGGGTTCAATCCCAACCAGACGGAGCATGAAATTTAAGATTGTTTTTTTTTTTTTATTCTTAATTATGAAAATGTTTGGGTTTAACATTTAAACCGAATTGTTTAAATTCTAAACCCAACATATGTGCTCTCTTTTTTTTAAACTTGGAAGGTTTGTATTTGAAACTGAATTTAGTTTGCTCATATATGTAGTCCAAAAAGTTTAAAATTAAAACCGAAATTTTTAACCGTGTACAATAAAATTATGTATGCATATAAAATCCATATACAAATACACCAATAAAAATGTGGTACTTTTTCAAATTCAAAACTTAGCAATACTGCCTTTTGTTCGATGCTTCCTCTTTTTCTTGTCGAGTTCGTCTTGCTCTCTCATTCTGGTATTTGTTGACGTCACGGCCAGTTGCTCTCTGCTCGATTGGCGCAATCTTGTATTCTATCATTCTTGCTTTCGGACGATACTGAGGAAGCTTGACAGATTAAATATTTTAAAGCAATTTCAGAGAGACCCGCGTAAAATAGCGACAATTCATCCAAAACTCAATTGCTCCAGCTCCAAGTCGCTTGATTTCGCCTTTCACCTTTGGTCTTGCTCCGGGTCTTTTGATTTTGCCATAATGCTCACCTTCGTTTGGCAGTGGACTTTCTGTGCCTGTTCAGTTTTGCAACGATTTGGCATATTCCCATACCTGCTTCACGGTATGATATGAAAATGCACATATAATTATTTCTAGTGGCGAAGAAAAAGTGACTGGCAAGTCGCAATGATAATTATCACCGTATAACCGTACTTTTTGCAAGCAAACATGTACCAGTGATCATGTCAGCATCTTTGCTATATATTACACTTATTTTCTGCATACTCAAATTTAAACCTTTGATTGACATATTAAAGGGTACGTACAAAACATTAAGATTTCAGCTATGTACATAAAGCTATTTCGGTAGGTGTAGGTTCAAAATTTTTCTAGGATCTTCGCGATATATTTTTCAATATTGAAGACATGGAAATCACCCAGATTTGTAGAATTCATTCATCTTAAAAAAAAATACCATATTATTTCAAGCGAAAATTGTCTTCGTCCAAGCGTTCAAATCATAGGTAAATTTGTTATTGGGTAACAGAACCATCCAAATTGTTTTTTTTTAATTATACAGGCATGCATGGGTAAATCTTTTGAAGTTGGGATTAAAAAAAATAAAAAATTTTACAAAATAGTACTTTTTTTTTTAACTTATCACTTGTAAACCTAATTGAAGTACCTTATAACGCGTGTAACTAATATTTTTTAATTGCTACTCAATTTAAACCATATCTTTAAAATTGTTTCCTGTTAGCCCGGTTAAGTTAAATCTTCAAGGTTGCAATTATTCGCATAAAGCTGAAAATTTATACAAATGTTACGAACACACTATAAATGAAATGTGAAAATGAGGACTCATCGATCCCAGATCTGTAAAAAAATGATTCAAGGTCAAAGGTCACATGAATTGATATTTACCATTTTTCAGCTAAACGGTAAGATTTATCATAAAAACAGATTAGACAAAAGTGAAGATGATGCAATTATGTGTAGAAACCGTTTCAACACTTTTGTTCCTAAGAATCACCATTTATGGGATACAACGATTCGATTTCGACATCCATATTGTAATAATTCATTTAACTTATCAAATACTTAGGATTTGAGTTCATTTTTAAACAGGTGGTAGTATAAAAAATTCAGTCTGTATGGGAGGTGTCACGGGCCCTTTTCCCAAGACGATTTTTTAGAAATGTTAAGTAGCACGTTGTCCTTTAACCTAGGATTATTCTACTGGAGAAGTATATTTTATACCTACAAATGTAAAATAAGTACCGCTCAACGACTACCACACGAAAATTCGCGCGTTTTATAAAATACGCAAAATGCAGTTACGGCAGCTTTTTTCACATTTGGTAACTGTCACATTTGTTTAATACCTGCCTTTTTATTCCTCGGAACCTACAAATGAACGTCTGAAAACCCCGAGCTTTAGGTCAGATCGCTCAAGAAATTATGCCTTAATAAAAGTAGATTTTATGCGAGTTGCACTAGAAATTTCCCGATTTTCTCGATTTTAGCAAGTAAATTAGTCATTTAACCCGTTAGTTTTGTTATAAATAACTATTTATTGATATTTGCACATATAAGTAGTATTAACGAAGTTATAGAAAGGGCACTTGGTAGTGCAGCTGCTTTTTGGCGGCAACAATATGCCAGTGCGCAAAATGTCCCCATCTCAAAATTTTTTTTGATCACGAAAGCAATTTTTCTTAATGAAATTTTACGATAAAACAAACGGCAGACACACACGTTTTTGGAGATGGTGATCTTCTTTATTTCGGGCCAAACATATATGTATGCATATTAAAGTTATTTTAATTTAGTGACAAAAACTAATTTTCAACAAGTTGTCTCCATCTGTTACCTTAACTAAAATGTGTCTGATGCTAACATGATTCGTAATGTTTCTTTACTTGGGTGGTCCAGCAATTGGATTTCAAAAAAAAAAGTTGCTCTTAATGAGTTCTTAATTTATGTTTAGTAGATGCCAAGATTTTTTTTTTAGAAATATTGTAAGCAGTGACGTTTCGTCTAGCATTTCTCTTAAACAAACACGCATGTATTTCCACCAACTTTTCAGTTTGTATTGAATTTTCTGCATTTTCGAAAGTTCTTCATCGTGGTTTTGTAAATTTTCGCCTCTTTTCTTCGTTTACGTTCACTCAATTGTGCCACCGAACAGCAGGTGATTCACGCTGCGCGCCACAAAGTAGTTTGTATAGGCAATTAAAAAGTCTAATAGGCAATGATTTCTTGCCTCAAATAATTAATTGCTTTTCAAAACACAAACAACAGAGCAATGCAAGCGGACAATGAACAGTGGAGCCTGTGGCGCGCTTTCAGGTGCTGCCACTTCACACTTCATTTGTTAAAAAAAAAAAAAAAATAAAGTGCGCGTATGCAAACACATACTTGAACAAATGCACATACACTCACACATAATCCAATGAAAAAGGCTTAATTTATAGATGAAAAATGTAGCGAATTGCAATGTCTGTTTATGATTATGTGCATAGATATGTGTGCACATGTAGGTGGTATTGGTCATAAAAAGCACACAAAAATAGCGAAAAAGTGAAACATTTATGTAGCCTCACAAAACTCCGCCAGTACCACATGCAGCATTCCAGGCAATGGTACAATGCTCTTTTACACAGCTTCTCATTTTCGTTTGTTTTTGTGACTGCCAGTCGATAAGTATTACCGCCAGGCAGATTCATTAAGCCTCGTTCGATGTACATACATACGTATGTATATACATATGTACTCCCCATTTTACTTCGCTTTTGGATGTTTATTTTACGAGGTATTCATGCCTGCTGAACACATTACACATGCCACAAACGACTTCAGGTGCAGCGCAAAGGGGCGAAGGGGCCCAAGGATAGCCTATCCATGAATTGCAAGCAGCCAAACACCTCATAATTCGATGTAATTGCGCGCATTTAAATGGACTGTCGAAAGCTGGTTATTTCACCAGCAGGGTGCGGGGGAAAAATGTGAAGGAGAGTGTGTAAGTGCGGGAGTGCGTCAGCGTGGCATGCAGCAGCGCGCTTATTGATTTGGAGTTCTTTACACTTAATTTCCGAGTACTCCAACTGAGATGAACCGAGGCACCGAAATATTTTAGCTGCCGCTGAGGAATGTTTTGGGTTGGTCGGAGGTGAAAGAGGTGGTTGTATTGGCATCGGAGTTTAACTACCTAGCAAGCGAATTGTGTATATGGACTCTTGTACTTTTTCGAGTATGTGTGACTGTACGCAGGCAAAGAAGTAACGTGTAAACTGCTTAAGTAAATAAGGTGGATGTCTGGCTGGCTTGCGAAAGAACTACTGCTACACTGCTGCTGCTGCTATGAGTAATCAGCAGTCAGCATTTAAACTTTAAATTTAAAAGTGCTTAAATATGAGGCTCACGAAATATTCTGTGCATGCCCTTTCTCTTATTTGCATTCCCATTGTATTGCATTTCACGTGAAGCGCTCACAAGCCGGATTCTGTTGAAGAAGCGCTGCACCGAGCCGCGTGTACGGTGGCATTTCGTGGAACAATGTAGCGCATTATTGCATAAATACATAAGTACATACAAACACATGTATGTAAATAAACCAAAAATTCTATTCACATGTGTAGCAATGCGCACAGATAGAAATTTAGTGCAATCTAAAAAAAAAAACGCCAACAAGCGCATCTCCGACACGTTGCACTCCATTTGCTCTGCATTCTTGCTTAGCTTGGCTACCTGCTACTATGAGTAGCGTCATATAGAAACTCATTTACACTTACATAATAAATTCTTTTGTAAATATTTACAGGTCGTTGCTTAAATACTCGTATTTCGCTGTTATTTATTATTTAAATTTCTTCCAAATTTTATAACTTATGCCATTTTTTCTATGTTTCTTTCTTTCAGAAATGGTACTACGTTACTGTGAATCACCTTCGGTCGGCACCTGCTGTACGTACAACATGGAGACGCGCATGGCGCTGCAATCGCGCATCCAGCTGGAAAGGCAATCCAAGGATCAGATAACGAAAATGTCGAATGCACTGGCGGCGAAAGCACAAAAATTTAATTGTGAGTAAAAGAATTACAAGTTAATTGTTAAAATGTAGAAACAGGACCCTCTTAATGCCGAGTATATTTCGAAGGGTAACTCATAACAGCCCGCAATAGTAAATTTTACACACAAAAAATATTTGAGTGTGCAGTTTTGTAGTCCATTAAATTTTAGTATAATAAAGTCTAAGTTTCAAATCGCTAAAAGTTACTAAAAAAGTTGATTTCTGTCCCCATTTTCTTCCATGTAACGCATGAACACAATCTTCTTTCTATATGAAAGAATGTACGTGCTTGCACTTTATAATATTATAATTTCTTAGGCTACAAAACTGCATACTCAAAAATTTTCTAAGAAATATAATTGAAAAATTGAAAATTTCGATGAAAATTTCTTGCATTTTCCCGAGTTCTGTATGAAATTAAAAAAATTTATTATTGTGCTTCTTGCTGTTGAATGAACTATATTTTTGTAAAAAAAAAACAAGAAAATTTTAGTATGGAAAATATGTATAAGTAATTAACATCGTCATAACTTCAGGGTATGCACATTTTTGACGCTGACGCTATATTTAGCCGCACCGAGTGTAACACAATCGGACAGCATCACGCCAAAAACTCTACCTTAATTGAATATTAGGTCTACTCAGTACTACTTAGGTAATGTGAGCAATGTCAGCCGATATGTTTACATCATAGCCTGGCAATGGCTCGAAAACTTTAAAGAAAGTTTTGAAACGATTCCACATCAATATGCTTCAAACAGTAGCGGCACTGTTGATAGGAGATGATATTATTTCTTATCTCCGTGACATTTCTGGTCCATCCTCTTCCTGAAAGACGTTCCTGTTGACTGCTTTCTGGTTTTCGCTCAGCACTTGCTGAGTTGGCTGGTGACCTATTCGCCGTCCTAAGCAGTTCGCAGGTAGTCAAGTACACACACATCCCTTGCTCCAGCAGGCTTTTTGTCTATTAAAAGCAGTCCAGATTACAATTCTGAAAAAATTATATTTACTTGATCGATTCAGGCTATATTGAAAGAGTTATTTTTATTTTTTTAAGAGGGCATGCCAAGGCTAGCAAGGTAATGGTTTCTTTGCATAAAGAACATATTTTTCAAATGTCGAAGCCACTGAAAAAAAAATATCCTGAACTTATTGCGACTCCGACCTCACGTAGTCCATACAATTCCTTCAGTCGGTGAAAACTGCTCTCTGAGCTAACGGATTGACGTATAAAGCAACTATAACTTACCTTTGTCAATGGCAGATGTCTACTAATATTGTCTTTACCGTACAAATTGACCTTGCGGAAGGTACCTGTCGAACATATGTTGAGTTCAGTGTTGCCATTTTAGCCGTTTTCCGGCTAGATTTAGCCGGTTGCGAATTCAAACAGGCCGAGAAAATTCGGTTTAGCCGGCAGGGGATTTGTTAGTCGCTCTTCAAAAAAAAAGTTACATTACTCGCCGATCCGGCTAACATTCAATAACGTTTCAGCAGGATATTTCTACTAGGTTTTTAGTGTCGTGTTTATCCGAATTCAGTTTTGTATAGATTTACGTATAGGAACGGATGAGATCCACTTAAGAGCTGATTTGTCCAAAATGTATAATGTGTAAAAATTATACATACTAGTTGACTTTACATTATGCGATGCAAGAAAGCCATCACCCATTTTCACATTTTCACCCGAACTACCACCTATTATTTCTGCCTAAAATTTTGGAGGTTTAAAAACGAAACCGATTAAAAATTTTGAAGAATCAAATATCGCTGAATTTCGTGCTAAATATCGTATCTGTCATCTCCTATAAGAGTTATGCACATATACATGTAACTGATTTGTGGTTAAATGGTTGTCTAAAATTTCATAAATTCCACTGATTCACTTTCGAGTTTTCCCTCTTCAGAAACCCAATAAATTATAGATTGCTCAAACAACAACATCTTTCAGTTAGGAAAGTACTAGCCGCAGTACGCTTGAAAAGAAAGGTCGACGCAAACCAAACATGCTACTACGGAAATTCAAGCATATAAATATGTGCGCTTGTACACACGCCTGTGTAATTTTCTATGACACAATTAATTTGACACCCACTTGAACGGATAGAAGATGGTTGAGTGGCAAAAGCAAGCGACCAAAAAAGTGGGGGTACTCACCAGCAAGCCTATGATATGCATAGATCAAATGTGAGCGATTTGTTCACCTAAGGCTATCCACACAAATCTGTTGTGTGTCACATGACACATTGCTCGTGTTATTTAGTCGTGGTGCTGATGCGGCGGAGCCTCCTCCGGTGGCACCACAAGAGGCTGTCAAATGAAGCGTGCATATTGAAAGCGTGGTGCGCATGCAGTGCGCGGCGCTCGCTTAAAGAGTGCATGCATTGATGTAATTTGTAAAATTAGCTTGTAACTTGCATTTACTGCTGCTTGTGTCAACAACTTTTGTTTGGCGGATGTCGAATTTTCCAATTATTCTCGCTTAACGATTGCAGAGCTGCCGAAACAAGGCAAATCTAATTTCTCGTTTGTACACAAATAAGTATAAATCAAACTTAAATCGCTTAAGAAGCGCAGAGAAGTGTTGGCGGAAGTCTCAAGTACATGCGTTGTGTCAAATTTTGTAACCAACTACCGCGCATGCGCACCCGCAAGCATCCCTAATCGACTATGACGGAGTGAAAATTTTGATTTCCTCTCAGTAAATATTTCCCCTTTAACAAACCATTTCCGTTTTATAATTATTTTAGCATTGGATTTTATTTCAAATTGTTTTCTAATAAAGTTTATTTATATCCACGATTTATCGTCTTTGCAGCCATCTTCCGTAAATTATTGAGCGAATCCAAGGAGGAGTTCCACAATATGTTCACACGCACTTATGGCGTCATCTATCAGCAAAATTCCTATGTTTTCTCCGATTTATTTAATGAATTGGAAAATTACTATACACGTGGACGCACCGATTTGCTGGATGTGATGGATAAATTCTTCAATACACTCTACCAGAAAATGTTCCAGGTGCTGAATGGGCAGTATACGTTTGATGAGAAGTAAGTGAAAATTAGTGAATGCTTATTTAATGCATTAGAGACGAATCCGCAGTCCCTAGAATAATTTATTCCCCTTTGTTATTTGTCCACCTTCATAGCGGCTCTGCATTGTATTCAAATCAAAATCCGAATAGCCCGATACCCAACAAGTCTTTATAGCACTTTGAATTTGTCTAAGAGCCGTTTTCTCAGGTAGGTTTTAAAATTTCTCTGCACTTCAAACACAAAATTTATGTTACCGAGAAGAAAAGGTGGGATCGAAAGTAAATGCCGCTGTCGTAGTTTTGTTCTCAAGAACGCTTCAAAACCAAAACCAAATGAAAACAAAACTTTCGAGAACGTTCTCAATGGGAATCATATACGAAAAATACCCTGTAAAATGTTTCCAAAGAGAACAAAATGTAAAAGATACTTTCGCGAACATTTCTAAGAGACCAAAATGGGAACAAAAGTCTCCAGAACGATTTGACAAAGATCAAAACGGGAACTAAAGTCTAAGGAACTTTGGCTGACTTCCAAAACGTATCAATACAATGTTTGGATACTGTTATACCACGGTATTCAAACTGTTTATATACGCAGAGTTACGACACATTGCAACCAGATACATTGCATATTTTAAGTTTTGAATATAGCAATGAACAATTTTTCTGAATTTTCCATTTTTAAAACACCAATGGAAACCAATAACAAACGAAGCATCAACTTTGTTTCTGATGCGCTGATTGCTCAAGCGCTGCGTTTCGATAACTTTTCGGATGCGTTTTGGAAAAGTATACATTGTCAATATTTTGTAGTTCGGCGTTATGGAACATTATACTTTGTACGTATGCAAAGCAATTGACGTTTTGGAAGTCAGCCTTTCTCTCGAAGAACAATTTGGGAACTAAAGTCTCAGGAACTTTCTGGCAGAGAACGGAGCGGGAACAAATATTCTCTGAATTATTCACAAAGAATGAAAGCGAGAACAAAATGTTTCACATAGCGTTAATTAATTTGAAATGTTTGGATATTAAAATTTATCAAAAAAGATAATTATGCAAATTAAGTCAACGAAAAACTTAAGGCATGAACTTTTCTTGCATAGAAAATGGAAAATTTTTCCATAAATGGATAGTCCACCCTAATGATAAACAATCTGTAAGTTGAAATGACCCAGACTTCCTCTGGCTTAGAATTAGCCGTCGTGGTTCTCATTGAAACGATTTTTCATCCCAACACGCAGACTAGGGATGTTAATTTTTCCACTTTTTCAGATCCCGGGATTTTCGGGATGGCGTTGTCACAATCGCGGCATGCCGGGATTAGCCCCGGGATTTAGGTATTCATTACTTTTCAACAACTTTAATCAAAAAAATTGCCTCTATATTGTTTGAGAAGCTTCATGAAATAAATAATAAATAAATGGATTTGAAGAATACTTTTTTATTTAAATAAAATTTGTGTTTAAAGGGCAGATGAATTTTAAACGCTACTTGTGATATTTAATCTGGCCGATTTGTAGTTCTATGAAGGAATTTCCGGGCGAATTGGGAAGATTTTCGATTGATATATGGGCGGATGATAAACTTTTCTGTATAATAAGCTACTTAGGACATCTCTCGGAAAGGAGGAGGATTCTGCCCTTATGAAACTATGGTTTAAATGTAAGGAAGATGACATATTAGTACTGCCTCTTTCCCTAACACAAAATCAAGGTTCAAGGTTCAAGGTTCCTTTGAAGAAGTTTCATATATCCAACATAGTACTTTAATTTTTGCTTTCTACGCAGTAATTCTTCAAAAACACAAACCCATACATGAACGAGCGTCCTGCCAGCTTGCAAGGAAACTAGCTTAGCTTTGAATTTATATAGATACTAGATTTGTAGAACGGTGCCATCGGGCCCAATTTTTCCTTCTTCCCCACTACATTCATAAGTGATTCAAACTGTTTAACCGGTTGAAAAAGTCACAGAAAAATAGAAGATTTATCAAAGAAAATCTGTGCAAACATGACCACGAGAAAGCTGATACGAATTGCATTACATTATTCTTCATTGTGCGCCCTTAAGCAGTCAACGCCTCATTTCGACTAAAAAGCCTTGCCACGCACCAAAAAATCACATTTGAGGTTTAAATTTCAGTAAGTAATTTTAACATTTCCACCGTTACTGTTGTTAACTACACCAACCGAAAGGCTATGCATGCGAGGCAAATAGTGATGACCAAGCTTGTCACCGAAAGTCAAGTACCATAACAAAGAGCTTGAATTACAGCAGTTATGATTAGCAACCTTAGCATTAATAGCAAACATATGTACATCGTACAAAACCAAGCAAGCGTTTGTAATTCTTTAGAAAACAAAAAAAAAAAAAAACGGAATAAAAAAATTACTGAAGGGTCAAGTTTTTGCGGAAACAGCACTTGTAGACACACACAAAAGCGCCGGTCAGTCCCAAGTGGCCAAGGAGACAGTAAACCGCAGCGACTCGTGTTACCCACGCGTGTATTTTGGTTTCCCAAAGCGTTTAAAATATTACCAACAAAGCAAAAAAAAATTGGTAATAAATGGAAGGACTAATGCATGCATACATACATACATATGTATGTACATTAGACCGTACCACCTTACAAGCAAACGAAAAAAAAACTCGGCGTACATCGCTGAAGCCGAATTTTTTTTTGCAAAGCAATTTGGAAAAAAAAACAAATTTTACCTAAAACAGAGGGCGCCATTTTACATTTTTCGGTGAAACCTACATGCGGCAATAAGTTTTTTTATTGGCAGTAGGGTAGTATGTTCCAAAAGAAATTTCTACTCGAGATAAGAACATCTTTATATCATACTTTAAGAGCCCACTGCAAATGCCGAAGATATGACGAAAAATTTAAAAAGACGAAACCCCCACATCTTCTTATCCACTATAACCGTTTGTCGGTTTCCTTCTGCACTTGGTCCTACTGTTGTGTCCGTGGGTGCGCTTGCTTTCGTTGTCCACCCATGGGTGCGAATTCGAAGGATATTTTCACCAGGGCGTCATCATCCATGCGTACAACATGTCCAAGCCAACGCAATCGTTGTATTTTTATGCGCTTAACTATGACCCATGTCGGTAAAAAGCTCGTACAGTTCGTCATTCCGTCTTCTTCGGTACTCGGTGCCCACGCGAATGAGGCCATAGATCTTGCGTAGAAAAGTTCTCTCGAAAGCCACCAAAGCCTTCTCATCTTTGTTAGAAATCGTCCATGTTTCTGCGGCATACGAAAGCACGGGTATGATGAGAGATTTGTTGAGCGCGATTTTTGTTCGCCAAGAGAGGGCTCTCTTTTCCAATTGCCTGCGTAGCTCTTGTTGGCAAGAGTTGTTCTTTGCTTTATTAAGTAAACAAAGTCCTTTACTACTTCAAAGTTATGCTGCTAACACTGTCGTGTGTCCCAATACGTGAAGACTTTTTATGTGTTGCCAAGAGGTACTTTGCCTTGTCGTCGTTCATCGGTAGACCAACCTCGTTAGCTTCTTTTTCTAAGCAGCAAAATGCTGCACTAACTTGCCTGGGTTTTAGGCCAACGATGTCAATATCATTTGCATACGCCAGCAGCATCGTGCTTTGCTGTATATGGTGCCGCTGGGATTCAGATTGGCAGCTCTTATAACGCTTTCCAGCATCAGAGGAAAAAAATCACATGAGAGTGAATCGCCTTGTCTAAAGCTTAGCTTTGTGGATGTTTCGATTCTGGTGTCCGGTACTACTAACCATTTACTATGTTCCGTGCTGCGGCAAAGTCAATCAGCATCTATCTGTTGTCGGAAGTGTTGTCATGTAGGTTGAATTTTCCGACTGTTGGACCTAAAATGCGAGGGGCAGCGCTCATATGCTTACTCTAAGAACTGTTCTTTGGTTTCATCGTCCTTCTCCTCCGTCGGGCGTGTGTACAAATGGGGCTCACGTTGTTGACTATGGCTTTGATGCGGATCGCGGCGATTCGTTCACCGATGGGAGTAAACCTGGAGACGAGGTGTCGTAATCTTTGCCCAACCACAAATCCCACACAAACTTTATGCACCGTCTCATGGCGGCTGTAGTAGATGTCACACGTTGCATATTTCATGCAGCCGTATCCTGGATTGCAGTGATGTCAGCCTGTATTTTTCGAAGACATCCGGCAGTTGGATAGAAGCATCTTCCCTATAGAGGGTCCGGACAGTCCAAGTGCATATCCGAAATTCTCTTTATTCATTTCATTATTTTTTTATATGGGTCGTCAACGTTTGGGAGGTCAGTCATCCGAGGCCATTTTGATATTTTCATCGGTAGGGGTTTTTACGTGGCGGGTGCCAACCCCAGCGCACAACTATTACTGGGATGAGTGGCTTTTCAACCGGATACACGTTCATATAGCGATCGGCTTGCTGCAAGACAGACGCCCGCTTACAGGCACACCTATTGATAGGCAGACGCTGCAGACTTCAGTAAGTCTTTAAACCGAAAAAACCAGAGTGGCCCCACCGAAACTCCCTCTCTTTTTCTACACTCGAGTAACTAGATACCCAGAAGAACGACCATACCCCATTGCGCTCTAAACTCCCTGTGTTTGGCCAAAAAAAAACTGTTTTTTTTTTCGAAATTGTCTTGCAAAACTACTTTAAATTCGGAAGTGTACGTCGAACTCTTTTTTCTGTTACGGTCTAATGTAAATACATACATACATACGTATGAACATAACTCTAATCCGCTCACCTAAAAGCTCGTTGTTGTGAGTAAAAGACCAGCAAAGAAAGAAAAATGCGCAGTAAGCTGTTTACAGCGAATTTGTTAAAAGGCGCGTTGACACTTTGGCGCATATGCTACACACAATATTACATGGTTTATACTTTTGTATGCATGTACTAGGGCATTCAATCCCGGAATCCAGAATGCCGCAATTCCGTGAAACCCGGACACTTTTCCATGTACCGAAATTTCGGGATTACAGATCCGGGATCCCTAAATTTTTACTGATACATTTACAGAATGATAGAGATGTTGAAAACAAAAAAAAAAGAATTCATTTGACATGACACACGATAAATACAGAACACCCAAACTTCGGTTCAAAGTGAACTGAATGAATTGAAAAATGCGAACCCACTGTAAAATGCAAAAGTTGTGATGAAGTCGAAAGCCTGTAAAATCTCGGGATCCCGGAATTAGAATTTTTACATCCCGAATTCCGAGTTTGTTTATATGCTTCGGGATTGAATGCCCTAGTATGTGCATACCTTCGTTCAAGCCTACTCGTCCAACTAACGTTCGGACATGCAGTCCAGGTTTACTCCATTCATGAACAAATAAAAGCGAAAAAATGACCGGAAGCTCAATGACTGGGCCAACATGCCGCGTCCAAGCGATGCTAAGCACACAGAGATTACTTACAAGCAAACAACACTCACTTTGCTTCGTTTATGAATTTGCACATACTTTACGCTTTTTTCGCCTCTGAAGAACTCGAAAAAAAAATTTTACTTTGTAGTTAAAAAACTGTGGTGGCCGCAAGGCAAAATAAATATGCAATAAACAACCGAAATAAAACCAACAACAGCAAACCACTAGCAGTTCATAAGTAGCGCTGCAGACCTATAAGTGCCGCAGACACACGCTGTTTCACACCTCCCACAAATCGGCCCGCCTAGCCCGAGTTAGCGCTGCATTTTGCGCACAGAAGCTAGTTGAGCTTCATAGATTTTGTAATTCTAACAATAAATGGCTTGATAATCGGCCTTCTGATTCCACGCTTTTATATTCTTTATATTCTTTGTAAAATGTGCTATTTCTTATTCACTTGAAGCAAAAGCAGTCGGCACATTAATCAAAGGGTTAAGTGCTAACTCACAGCTCCTACATTTTTTGGTCTGTCCTCTACTTTGTCCGTTATTTTTATACCCCTGCGCACTTGTGCACAAGGGTATTATAACTTTGTTCGCATAACAGTTGTTTGTAACAGCCAAAATGAGTAGATAAATGCTCAGAATGAAAAGAGAAATCGACTAAGCCTGCATGTCTGTCCGTCCGTCCGTCTGTCCGTCTTTCTATCCGTGTACACGATAACTCGAGAAAAAAGTGAGATATGTCCACGAAATTTGGTAGCTAAGTTTCCCCTTATTCAAGGTAGGTTGGGATAGAAAAGTGGAGACATCGGACAATAACTCCACGCCCACCTCCCATATAACGGTATTTTCGAAATATGCAAACACTACGATATTTTCGTAAATACTGGATTCAAATAGTTGAAAGTTGGTACGCGAAGTAGAATTTTAGCATACCATAAGACAGTTGTGAAATTTTTTGAAAATGGGCGTGGCACCTCCCACTTACGATGAAATGCTGTATGTCTGTAGTCCCTTCACAAATTCCCACCAAACTCGGTACGAACACCTTGAAAATTTTTGCAATCAGACAAGCACCACGCCCACCTCTCATATAACGGTAATTTACAGAAATACGAAAACTGCGATAAATTAGTAACTATTTAAGCTAATTTACTCAAACGAAAATCTTACTTAGGGGATTTAAAAAAAAATGGGCGTGGCACCGCCCACTTACGCTTACATATGTGTATCTCAGTGACCGATTTATCAATTTCTACCAAACTCAGTACATTTATCAAACTTGGGTCAAAAAAGCGATATGTTGAAAATTTTTGGAAGCGGACTAAAATAACCGTCAACTACCATATAACGGTAAATTTCAGAAATAAGAAAATTCCGAGATTTCATTAACTAAACACGCCAACTTACAACAATCTCTTAACAAAACACAATATTATTGGTTTTTGTAAAAAGGGGTTTGGCCCCACCTACTTATGGCTACATACATAAGTGTATATTGATAGCCCCTTATCGATTTCCACCAAATTGGCTCCAATTATTGCAATATCTCATAGCAAATTATCGAAACTGCAGTTTACTGAAGGGTGAAAAAACTATATTTAATACGTGCGCCGGGTATATAAACTTATACTTTTTTGTATAGGGTGCTTGTGGAGTGCCTTAGGTGATAGAAAGTCTAATAGGTTGTTGACTAAGAGATTTAGCAGCAAATATTTACATACATATGTATATGTGAAGCAAGACCTCTTATTGTTTTTAAAATTGTAATTGTATATTTTGTCCTTTCTCTCGCCAGATTCCTGCACTGCGTGAGCGAGCATATGAAAGAACTCAAGCCCTTCGGCGATGTGCCTGATAAACTGGCTTTGCAGATAAAGCGTTCCTTTGTGGCGACGCGCACCTACTGGCAAGCGCTGCACACAGCAGCTGAAGTGTCAAAGAAGTTAATAAATGTAAGTAAAGTTTTCAAATGCTAACTCTAAACTTCTGAAACAAAAATTGAAAATAGAAAACATTACTACACAATGTGCTAATGCTGTCTCTCCCTTCTCTTCTAGGTGCACCTCAATGCCGATTGCACGGCTGCGCTCACGAAAATGCAACACTGTGGTGCCTGTAAGGGCTATGCGCAGAAACCCTGCACAAATTATTGTGTTAATGTGATCAAAGGTTGTCTACATTATGTGAACGAATTCGACTCGGAGTGGGAGAACTTTGCGGTAGCCATGGACAAAGTGGCCGAACGTTTGCTGGGCTCATTCAATATTGTGATGGTCGTTGAGCCGATTAATATCAAAATTTCCGAGGCGATTATGAACTTTCAAGTGAGTTGAATTTACTGTTGAATGGTTTTGATACAGATATTTTTTAAGTATAAATGTATGTATTTAAATATGTATGTATATGCAAATGTCTTTGCTGTGAAGATTTGGCGAAATTCATTCAGAAAAGTCATAAAATGTAAATCTAAAGAATCGTAAAAGTTAAGGAGCTATAAAAGTCGATCTATAAAAGCTGATACATTAAGTTTTAGAGAAACTAAATGTGCTTTGAATTTATTAGTTACTCTTTGGTTGTTTAGTCACGTCATTAAATTAATTGAGCTTTTAAGCAGTTTAATAAATTTAAGCAGCCGGTTAATGTCCGCTTATTAATTTCTAGTTCAGCCTTTTTCGTAATGAATTTTTAGTGCTACTAATGCTGTTGACTTTAAATTTTCGTACGAATAATATGTGTAAATAAATAATCGAAATTTAAATAATCTATCGACAAGACGCTTTAAATAAAAAAGCTGTCTAATCAAATTTTAGATACGAAAACTGGTATGCCTTAAAGATCAGTTCAGACGAACTGGTCAAATGGATATTTCGGTCGAACTGGGCCCTTACTCTGTATTTCGAATCGAAAAGAAGTTCTTTTCGAACGCCTAACTCTTTTATAGTACAAATCTTTCAAATTTACTATCGATTCGAACTACAGAGTAAGGACCCTGATATGTAAGGTCAGGTGCTATCGCCCGTAAACTCTTCTCACGAGGTAATACTCTAAATCTGGCGCACACTCGATAGCAGCATTGTCTGTCGGACCTAGGCTTGGCGAAAATCTGCAAACTACAACGCTTTGGTTAGACAAGCCAGGTAAATTGTCAGTCGTTCAAGTTAAAGCTGGCAAAAAACCCTCAATCTAGTCCTGCTCTCAACCGTGCACTCGACGGGACTCTACATTCTTTACCTTAAGTTTCTTTAGTTGCAACCGATTTCTGTGGAATACCCGAATTCTCGACATAGTACGAAGTTCATAAGGTCGATATCTCTAATTTCCAAACCTTTGTACCCGTGACGTCTTTCTGTCGGCCTAGAAATTTAAGTCCTTGGTCCTAGATCTAAATAATATGTAGAGACCAAATTCCTGTGGATCAACTCTCTTATCGTACTCCATTGTTGATTCAAATTCTACCCCTAATTTGCACTTTCTGTTCATTATTTGAGCGCCTTGACAAAGGTATTTGTAGACCAAATCAATTTTCTAAACATACACCTATTACCTGAATTGAAATTTTATTACTAAAATAATTTACATACATATTTAACTTTATACTTTTGTTGTTAAGGGTATGCCACATAAATCCGTTCACGGTAGCCCATTCATAGTCATACAGTTGCAGTCAAAATAATAGTAGTGCGCCCACCGTTGGATTTTTCTGCTAAATGTTTATGTTGGTTTTCATTTTAAAAACTACTACTAATTACAAATATATCGTAAAGCAAAACTTAGTAAATTAGTTCATTATATTCTTTTAAAATAACATTTTATACCTTGACCTTTACATATCAACGGCCAAAAAAATTGTTGTGCGAATTGTGCGAGTTTACGAGAGTTTCACATGCTTCCTTAGGAATAGCTTTCAATGTCCGCTCCATCGTTTCCCAAAGTTGATTGTTGTTTGTTAGATAGCACTGGGCTACTTCCTCCTTTACGTAGCGCCATAAATTCTCTATTGGATTGAAGTCTGGAGACTGTGCAGGCCGTTCCATGACCCTAAGCCTCCCAGCAAAAAATCGGTAATCGCTTTTAGTGGTAACGTGTTCTAGAAGGCACAGCGTTATAATGCCTTCGAATTTGTTCGCTTCTTTTAGGCATTGCCAGTAATGCAAAGTAGAATGTCCTACAATATTTTATTTATCTCGCTTCTTCGTTTCATTTCGGGGAATGCAAAGTAGAATGTCCTATAATATTTATTTTTTAATTCGTTTCTTTGCTTAATTTCCGGGAATGCAAAGTAGAATGTCCTACAATATTTTATTTGTTTCGCTTCTTTGCGTCATTTCAGGTAATGCAAAGTAGAATGTCCTACAATATTTTATTCGTTTCGCTTCTTTGCTTCATTTCGGGGAATGCAAAGTAGAATGTCCTACAATATTTTATTTGTTTCGCTTCTTTGCTTCATTTCGGGGAATGCAAAGTAGAATGCTGCATCGTAGTCAGCTGAAAAATGGAATGAATATCCAAAAATTCTTTTTCTACCGTTACTTTCTGTGGAAATTTGTCTCGCATAAAAATCATGTTTTGCTTTGTTCTATTAGCAGCGAAGTAGAAGTCAGTCAATGAAGTGACGTACAAGAGTGCGGAAGTTCAATTTTAAGCTTAATTAAATATGCATGTATGTACATACCGATTTTAAAGAAAATCTAAATACCTAAATACAAACATATGTACGCTGATTTATAAAAATTTTAATTAATTTTAACCTTTTAAGACATTTTCTGATTTCAATTTAATATAAGTAAGTATGTACTTATCTAAGCATTCTACATTAGTTTCTCTGTAAGGCATTCTTTGTTCGCTTCTCTGGATTCTGTTTATCCATGCGTTCTCCCTTCGTTTGAAGGTAATGCTGCGGGTAAGGGCTTACCTCCAATGACATGCCCATGTTAAAATAAGGCCTTCTTGAAGCGAAACGGTAAGCGATTCCCATCGCCTAGCTCCTTTCCACTTTCGTTTCTGTGGTAATCGTGTTTTTTGCTGGGCTATTTCTCTGAAACCACTGCTTCGTCAACTTGCTCGTGTTCCTTGGATCATTACCTTGTTGGAAGGCCCAGAGCAGCGGCATATCTTCGCGGGCATATGGTGGCAGGACTTCCTCCATGATTCGAACACAGTTACGCAGTGCGATCCATGATTTCTTTTATCCAGTATGTCGGCCCAACTCCATAAAACGAAAAACATACCCAAATCATAATAATTTATCCTCCATGTTTAATTGACTTAATAGGCCATCTGACATATTGGCGAGTTTCTCTTGCCCCATACAATACTATTGTTTTGAATCATGGTCGGTGAACAGCCAACAATGTCCTGAAACTCCTTGTAAGTTTTGCCCTTTGAAATCAGATTTCAGATTTAATAATTGTACGCTGTTCAGTCGTGCAATGTTTGCTTCGTCCCATTTCTAAAACAGATTAGAACCAATTTGCACCAAAACATTAATAAACCGCATTAAGAAAGAAAGAAGAAGGAGAAGAAGTACTGGCTCTAATATTTTGAATGGCTCAATAGCCAACACTCCTAAAATTGCGCGTACAATTGCTAACGTTTACAGTTATGACAACCCTTTTTTTATCACTTTATCTATACAACAACACTATCTAAGACAGAATGAATAATAAGGAAAGTAACGGTATATATTAAACGCACTGAACTATATGCATTAATAGAACTACTATTATTTTAACAGCAACTGTACCTTCTAAGTTGCTGCTGCTACAAAAGCTGTTTATAAAGAATCACTTAGGTAATCTTCTTATTGTGGTGGCGGAAATTAGTATAAATGCTTGATTCGATTTTCTCTAAATTAACATATAAATTTATTGCCTTTTTGTATTGCGTCTGTCCTGCCTTGTTAACATCATCAACCAAATTTAGCCGCAATCTCATCAATTTTTTCTGTTTATTTCTTCTGTTTCTGCTTTTTTAATTGAGTTTATTTTATTTCTTAATTTTTTTACCTGCTGTTATACCAAATGAATTTGTTTACAATTATTTTACTAATTAAAATTCCACAAACGCGCTTTCGAGTTTCTTCTAAATTTATTGCAAAATCTTTGTTTACTTGAAAATCAGCTGCTCAGCACAGTCGTTGCCATATTGGCTACCTGAAGTAAGCAACTTTTATTAGATTATTTTCTTACGTTTTTGTTTTGTTTCTTTTTTCTAAATGAATGTTTGCAATGTTTTGTTTTATTTTTTCGCTTATTTGTTGTTATTCAATTAATATTTCATTTCGCCAGCTCATGGTTAAATTTATAACCCGCGGTGCTTTTGTTTACTCAATGCGCGTACTATTAAATATTTTCGTACATTTTTCTTGTATTATTTTGGTTTGCCTAGTCTTCGCTTTGATCTTTTATATTTTATGGCTTTCCTTTGGTTTCTGCAGTGATTTGTGTGCAATTTAAAGCCAAGCCAAAAACAAAACAAAGAAAGACATATCTTTAATGCTGTCTGGCCAGGCCAGGCGTAGGTGAATAGATTAAATGACTGGCGAAAGGTGTTTTCCGCAAATTGACAGCTCAGCTATTTTCAATATTCAAAATCTGTTCGATTGGAATAATTTATTACTGCGTGGTACGAGTATGCAGTTCTCTTTGTAAATATTTTGGCGGGAAATTAGATTTATAAAGCTACTGGTTTAGCAATAAAATGAGCAACAATTGTTTTTCGGATAAGCAGCCAGATTTTTATGGAATTCCTTTAAACAAAAGTTAGCGTGTT